CAGGACTGTGTGTCTCCGCTCTTATCACTTATGAGTATTAGTGTGCGATGTTATTCTACAAAGGTTATGGTTGTACAGTGCGGCGCCATAAATATGAATACAGGTCTGTGCTTAAATTGCAGTAAACGAGTGTCTTTTTGTATGGGAGCTTATGGCGCCGTACCGTATACGAGTTAAGCACAGACAATACGGACAATGCGCTCTGGTCTCGGAACGGAACGGTGAGGGGTTACAATACGCGGCACGGGCTGTGATTGGATTATGGTTGGATAAGCCAGGAGCTCGGTTGCATATACTACAAAGTAAGATTACTCTCCATCATTCCTGACATTTCCCCTCAACCCCCTGCTTTTCTACCATGTGCTTCCCCACGACTACTAACCTGACCGACCCGGTAAGGTCGCCTCGTATAAAACGCTTAGATGCCACTACATATGGTTGACATGTATGAACATGACTGATCAACACTGTTCCCTTCCAGCCCTTTTCTTTTTCTAAGCCATCCTTCTTTCCTTCTCGTCTTCTCTGCTTTATCTATATTTGTTATACCCCCTGTCCATTAATCAAGGAATCTCCAAGGACATCAACTTTTCATTCGTCCTCATGGTTGGCGTTTCCACCTTTGTTCTCCTCGGCCTAGGCATCTTGCGCCTCGGCGTCGTTGCCCAAGATGGTCCAGAGATCCCAACTCTCGACGGCGTAGATGCCCAGCTATCTGCCTACCTCGAATTGGTCGGGAATGGCACGGTGCCTACTAGAGGGTCCCAGGCGCGCTCAGTCACGCTGCCCTCTGGCTGCGACCTCGTCGTAAGAAAGTCACATCATTACCACGAGGATATCAATTGCTGACACCAACAATAGTGTGGCTTTCTCGGCTTCTCGCTGAGGGGACAGATATCGTACCCGGGAAGTCTGGAGTATCAATTCGGCGAGTCCCAGTACTGGTCCGTCCAACAGGCTTCCAATGAGCCAACCTGCCGTTTTACCCCTAGGAGCGCGATTGAGGTGTCTCTGGGCGTTTTGACCCTGCGTCTTGCGAACTGCAAGTTTGCCGTCAAGAGCGGTGGCCATGCTGCTTTTGCAGGATCCTCCAACATCGACAATGGAATTGCCATTGACTTGGCGAAACTGAACCAGGTAACCGTCTCCGCCGACCAGAAGCAGACTTCCGTCGGGGCAGGAAATGTTTGGTACGATGTCTACAAAAAGCTTGACCCGTTGGGCCTCTCAGTCATCGGTGGGAGAGTATCGGCCATCGGTGTCGGCGGGTTGACTCTCGGCGGAGGCGTATCGTTCTTTTCCAACCGTTATGGGTGGGCATGTGACAATGTCAACACGTACCAAATCGTACTTGCAGATGGATCCATCCGCGAAGTCACGGCGTCTTCGCTCCCCGACTTGTACTTTGCGCTTCGTGGCGGCGGCAATAACTTCGGAATTGTGACCCGCTTTGACCTCAACACATTCCCGCAAGGTAAGATGTGGGGCGGCGCGCAAGTCTTCCTCTACAGCCCTGAAACCGCGGCTGGTCTAAACGAGGCCTTCAACGGGCTGGCTATCAATAGCCATGAGGATCCCTATGCGCAGGTCATCCTTGCCTACGCGTACGTCCAGTATGCCGACATGTATGTCATCTCATCGGATCTTCAGTACGGCAAACCCGTCGTGAGTCCACCGATGCTTCGAAACTTCACTGCTGTGCAAGGCACCGTTGTTTCCAACTCATTGCGTATCGCTAGCTTGTCAGAGCTTACTGTCGAGTTGAACAACTCTAACCCCGGTGGATACCGGTAAGTCTGTGGCCCCTCCTTAACTCGCCCCATTCCAACGCTGATGCCTGTGTTCCAGACAATCCTACTGGACCTTCACGACCGGCAATAGCCCCACCTTGATGGCAGATATCATTGCCATCTACCAGGAGGAAACAAACGCCGTCAAGGACGCTGAGGGCCTCGTATCCTCCTGCATCTTCCAGCCCCTAGGCACCAACTTGGCACCCCTCTTTGCACGCAACGGCGGAAACGCCCTCGGGATCGACCTTACTAAGGGGCCCCTGATGCGTACGTATTCCATATCTCGTCCTTTTCACCTCTCCTGACTCCTGCCGCGCTTGTCTTCCACTCAAGTACCTCTAAACTGACGTGCGTCCGTCCAGTACTCAACATTGCCATATCCTGGTCCCGCGACACCGACGACACGCGCATCCTAGCCGCTGCGCGGAACATGGTGAACCGCTCGGATGCCGCCGCACAAGCCGCAGTGCTTGGAAATGCGTACCTCTACCAGAATTACGCCTCTGCTGAGCAAGATGTTTTCGGAAGCTATGGCGCGACAAATTTGGCTAAGTTGAAGGCTATCGGTAAGAAGTACGACCCGAGCGGAGTGTGGCAGAAGTTGCAGCCCGGGTACTTTAAGATTCAATAGAGTGTTCACAAAAGAGGAGGCGGTTTGCTGCATGGCCAAACTTACATGTATATATATCACTTAGCTCGTCAAGCCTAATACACGACTGTAAGACGCCAATTGCATACCTATGCAATTGGCGTCTTGACCTACGTTAGGTAACGTAGGTCATGGGGTAAAGTCGGTAATAAGGTAATCTTAAAGTCGGTAGTAGGGGTACTCGGTGACCTATTCGCTTCGCTCGTAGGTGGCGAAAGCGAGTTGGGTATGCGAAAGCGAGTTTGGGTATGCATCAATATGGTATACATATCTATGAATCAACGAGGTAATAGCGTAGTATTGATAGATAACTACCTGAACAATACAAAATTAACAGATTTTCACGATCTAAACTTTGTACTGACTCATTTTCATCTTCGTCGTCGCTACTCTTATATGCCTTGTACTGTAAGACCACTACAAGCGACTTCAAACCATTTGCTTTACGGTCTGGAACACGCTTACGCTCTGCTTTGCGGTCTTCAATTGCGGATCGCTTAGCCATATTTAGTAGCTGTTTTGCTACCTGAGCTGACTCTCGTACATTTTTTCGCATCCGCTTTTGCCCTTGCCTTTGCTTCCTTCTCTTCTCTTTTTGTACGTGCTTCATGAGCATATAGTTGACCACCACTCTGTAAGCTTCTCCGTGCCCGAGCCTTTGCCTCCCCTTGTTGAAATGTGCGGAGAGCAACAATATCAAGCTCTGTCTTATACAATTCTGCTTGGTGTAAAACCATTGTAGCCCCATGTGCAAAAGCTCAAATCCATGCCGAGATGAGAGCTAAAAACCTGTTTAGCTTTCCTTTGCCAATGCTCAACCTCAACTCTCAACTATTTTATAATGGATTTCTTCAACAATATCAAAACGGAACAGGAGCTACAAGACAGATGGTATTTGCTGCTATTTTCACCTACGGAACCCATTACCACCTATAAGGATCGTAAGCCTTAGGGTCTCACAGGAGTCTAGGGAACCAGATCAGGAGGCGGGAAGCCTCTAGCCCCCTTTTATCTAGGCACCCTATGCCCTAGTTTACCAAGTCCTACAGGCCCTGCTGAAAGAGGTCTCACATGAGGGCACGTGATGGCCTTCCTTACACCACCTCCTAAAATGTAAGGACACAGGGCACCCAGCTCACAGTAATAGCATATGAGACTGGGAGTCGGAGGCTAAACGGATGCTATCCTATAGATCTACTACGAAGGATACAAAAAAGATGATGAGGAACCCCGTTGGGTCAATCCCCTTAAGTACCCGAAACGGGTCTGACTCGGCTAACCTGCCCTAACTCTCCCCACGTGACCGTAACCTACCTGACTCCGATCCTTTCTGTCACTGAGGGCGGAGGCATCCTTACATAAAAGTTGGATGACAAAATTCCTTAAGCATAAGCTTGTTTTCATACTATAACTACAAAGCCAATTTCAAAGCAACAGACAACTACACATGACAAATCAGTTGTCATTAATTGGTTTCAACAATATAAAGGATTATTGTAAGAGCATAAGATCAAATTAAGCAATCTATGGAATATAGACGAGACTGGATTTCAAATTGGGATTCTAGGTGGAGAGCAAGTTTTAGTTCCAATTGGAGTTCATGAGCTATACACACCAAGTCCTGAAAACTGAAGCTTAATTCTACAAGTGGAGATACAATACCACCTGTTCTTATTATTCAAGGAAAGACTCATATAGAGAATTGGTATCATGAGAATCTTCATAGGATAGAGAGAATTCTACTTTTAGAGAGTGGATATATCAACGACGAACTTGCCATGGAATGCCTAAACCACTTTATTAAGCATACTCAAAGTACGGAAACCTCAGAACCAAAGGCTTTATTACTTGGTTCTTGTAAGGACACAGGGCACCCAGCTCACAGTAATAGCATATGAGAGTGCGAGTCGGAGGCTAAACGGATGCTATCCTATAGGTCTACTACGAAGGATACAAAAAAGATGAAGGGGGAACCCCGTTGAGTCTGTTTCCTTAACTCCCGAAACGGGCCCGACTCGGTTATCCCAACCCTAGCCCTGAACCTTCCACTGCAACAGGTCTGCATCAGCCCTGAACCCTATACACTTACCATCCCCCACTATAGTGTAACTCGCTATATGCTCCTCTACTGGTTCGAAACCCCACCGAGTCGGGTTCCATGCTTGTAGTGACCGTAACAGTTCTGAGACAGGTTCTTCGAGTATCTAGGTATGGAGGCATCCTTACAGTTCTCATATAAGTCACCATTATCCCCCCTTTGCTATTCTTATAGAGAAACACCATATCTACCCCTTTATATTTCCATCTCATCTCACACACATTTTACAACCTCTTAATGTTAGAATTTTCCAACTGTATAAGCATTAGCACAAAGTTGCCATTTAAGCAGCAATACGGAAGTTTGATCTATAATATGATATCTCTTCATTCATGCGAGATCTTCTACAGATTAGAGCAGATACTTTCAAACCTATTCATGCTTTTTAAAAGGCAGGAATGTGGCCTATGAATAGTGCAGTTTTTCTTGTGAAAATCCAGAAATACTCAAAGCCATTATAAGAGGATGAAACACAACCTTTGCTACCTACGTTAAAGAATTCAGAGAAGCAACTTCAAGTATGGAAAGATAAGTTTACTCCATTGTTAAGTAGCCCATCAAAATAGCAATTTCATACTTCATACCTACTTATTTTGCCCTGAGAGGGGACACTTGCTTACCCGGTGTAACGGGTGCCGCCGTTACAGTACATGTGGTATATAAAGCGTGTTACGCGTATTCCGGGCGAGCCGGAATACTGTAGTCTTTTTGGCTAGTGGGATGTAGCGCGAGCGTAACCGTACATCATTACACCCGGGGACATTCGCTTCCTCCGACTGTGAGCGAAGCAACAGGCGGTCCCAACGATTAGTTCGGATAGTTAGATAGTTCTGACTATCCTAACTATCCTAACTATCCAACTATCCATATCACAGCGTAGTCTTCTCCCTACCCTTTACATCGACCCACTTCTCCTCGCCCTTCTCACCCACCCTATCAACCGCGTTAATGACAACATTCTCCTCGTCGCCATCCCCCCTGCCCTCAAACAAACTTTGCTTCAAGTTATTCAGCATATCTTCATCCTTATCTGCGTTGCGGAACGTCATCCAGAAGCCAACTCCGCCCAGAGCTGCAATGACAGCAACACTGCCATAATTCCAGACCAAAAGCGGATCCTCACTCAAAGCCGTAAGAGCCTGGCCGAGAGCACTGGAAACGGCGTTCGTGAAAAGAGCGAACGCTTGGATGGAAGAACGCATGTTTTTGGGGGCTTTGGTATATGCGTACTCGAGCTTGGTAATGGAGGCCATGACCTCAGATAGGCCGATCAGGCCGTATGGGAAGACTTGGATCCAGACAGTGAAGGAAGCGTTGCAATCCTTGCGTCCCGACTTAGATAGGGCGTTGACTTGATTTCCGCAGGGTGACATTTTGTAGATGTAGTATTGTGTCACGCAGGCGGATACCATGGCCAGGGATGCGAGCATGAAACCGGCCGTAATCTTCTTAATGGGCGTGAAGTTGATGCCCATCTTTCGGAGTCCAGGATAAACAATGAAATCCATGAGGGGGATGACAATAATAATGAAAATAGGGTTCAGATTCGAGACAATATCGTTGGGGACCTTGCCGAGGTTCATGGTGTTTGCCTGAGACACTAAGTTGCCAGTCATCTGGTTGTATGCAAGCCCTGTGGAGACATTAGTACCAACCCGTACCATAATTATAAGAAGACGAGGTGGTTGCTTACAGTAGAGAGGATAACACAAGAACACCTTGCACGCCAACAATCCACGGCGAACTTCATCCACCCATCCATCATCGAAGGTCATCCAAGCAGGCCGAGTAGTAAGAGGAATGTTGCTTGGCTTTACCTTATTCCAAAAGTCGGGGTCACTGAAATTCTTTTTTCTGTGATGCTTAGCAATATTCATACTGCAGTGCAGGAGTAAAACAGCGACTTACGTGGTACTGGGGTTCCAGGACCATTTGCCTTTGCATGCAAGTCTAATAAGCTTGTATGCTTTGGCCATAACAGATCCAGTCGGAGGGGATAGGTTATAATCTGCCTTGAAGTAAAACAGAATGGCGGGGCAAAGACAGAAAACAATAGTCGGTAGAAGGTATGACAACCAGAACCCGACATAGTGCTCCGAGTAAACCATGGCGAGCGAACCAGAAAAGGACCCGATGTTGATCAAGAGGTAAAAGTAGAGGTAGATACGAGCAGTCGTCGTCGCAGGGTCCACGATCTCTTTTGCGCCTTTCTTATTTATCCTCACGTAGGCTTTCTCATCCTTGTATTGCTCAGCAATCAAGGGTGAAATGTTAGACTTGAATCCACCGGTTCCAAGTCCCATAATCACAAGTCCGACTGAGAAAAGAGCGATGGCTGCGTTTGGGTGGACAATGACCGGTGGAATTGCGGATATGATCAAAATGACGTGTCCAACAAGTGCAAAACAGATGGCATATTGAATGGTAAGGTAGCGTCCGAAGTACTGATCAGCAACGTAGGCACCAAACAATGGCGTAATATAAGACCAGAAGTTGTTGACTTGACAAGATTAGTTTTGTTTTGAGAGCATCTTCAGTTGAGCTTACAGGTAGTCAGTCCAGTGGAAGCACGCTGTCCCATTCCCAAGGCACCAGACCCTGGCTTAACGAGGAAGCCAGCACCCGTTGTTGATCCTCGTGGGAGGTCCTTCTGAATGAAGTTGACGACTAGGATAATTTTAGTGTCTTTGGCGTTCTCGTGGGGATGATTGCTATATCAAACTCACAAACAGCAGTAGTGCCATAATAAGAGAATCTCTCAGCAAATTCGACGGCTGCTACAGTCCAGGCGGTCCAAGGAATCCTCCCAGGAACTCTAGGAAGGGTAGCAAACTCTTCTTCGGTGGGAAAAGGCTTGTCAACATCAAATGATGCGTTGGAGGCCTTGTCAGCATTAGAGATGGCCTCAGCAGCCTTCTTAGTCCCATGCGTGACCCCAAGACTATCTTTGGTTTCCATGGCCGCCATAATACCCGTAATGTCCACGGTTATGGCAAGTAATACAACGCAATTGCTACTAGAACGTAGAGGTCCTCTCAATTCAACAGTGGGAGGCACCAGGTCTTATAACCCAGCCCGGTGGGCTCTGGAATCACGACTTACCCCTCGATATACGAAATGCTCGTCGCCATAAGAGGCAGTTACCAAGAATGAAGCCAAGGCCGACGGTTTACTGGTATCACTTCTTGGCACTGTGGCATTGCGACGCAAGCCGCAAATCAGACGTGTGCGACAGCGTCCTACCAATGAACTGCAGAGTAGATTGTCGCCGAGTGTCCATTACGGGCGGAGAGGGCTATGCTCCAAGGCACTTTCCGTGCTGATAAGGGGAGAATTCACCAAACGGAAACGTGCTCCGGTCTTGTCACCTTCTGGAAGCAGCCATTGCATGCTATGCTAAAAGGCCACATTTAAAAAGGAGGGCGGGCTAAGTGATTTTCTTGAGTCCAGTTATGGTGGTATGTAATGGTTATTGCATGTTAGGCCTTGTGTATGAAGTACTCGGTGTTCCACCCACTCGCTTCGCTCGTAGGTGGCGACAGCAAGTTGTGCGTGCGACAGCAAGATGTGCGTACACCGCTATTTTGATATATAGAAAAAATAATAGTATTCTTCATAACGTAGTATCTACAATGCCTCAAAATAACGATCCTACTATGATTGCTCGCCTTAATGAGGCCCAACAGTTCTTCTTAAAACAACCAAGTACATATACAATTGCTTGGGTTGCAAATAAATTCAATGTCAACCGTGAGACACTCCGATGTCGTATTACGAGTACTACGTCTCCTCAATTACCCCACGGAGGTAGCAATCGAGTCTTATCTCAATCGCAAGAGACCGCGGTCTGTCAATTCATATACGACCAACTTGAGCGCGGGGTCCCTGCCAACCGATCTATGATACTACGGGCAGTTGCAGACTTACGACCTAATCGTACGATACCATCACAACGGTGGCTACAACGCTTTCTAAAAGCACACCCCGAATTTCATACAATTCACACGAAGACGTTAAATACACATCGGAAGCAAGCACAAAAGAAAGAGGTGTTTGAGGAATTCTTTCTCACATATAACGCCCTTATTACAAAACATAACATTAAGCCATATAATTTATGGAATGTTGATGAGACAGGCTATATGATTGGGTGTTATAAGTCTACGGCTGTTATTGTACCAATCGGTGTAAAGCAGTGGACTGTTGATAATCCTGAGAATCGGCTCTCTGTTACTGTAATTGAGGCAGTAAATGCAAGTGGTGCTGCACTTGCAGAAGCTATCATTATCCCTGGCAAACTTCATATGGATTCATGGTACAATGATGACCTTGAGCCAAATGCTCTCATTATTGTAAATGAGAGCGGGTATTCAAACGACGACATTGCAATCCAATACCTTATGCATTTTATCCAACTATCTGCAGAGCATATGGCACCAGATGATACTCGCCTCTTATTACTTGACGGCCATGACTCTCATAAAACAGAGCGCTTTCTTACATTAGCAGAAGAGCATAACATTGTTATTTGCTGCCTTCCTGCTCATACAACACATCTATTACAACCTCTTGATGTAGCGGTTTTTAAGCAGTGCAAACACTTTCATCAAAAGGCACTTGATCAAGCAGTACGTAGCTACGACTATGAGTATAAGCTACGTACGTTCCTTTCAGACCTCCCGCAAATCCGACGGCAATCTCTAACTGTCCGTACAATTCAATCTGGTTGGAGAAATACAGGACTATATCCATATAATCCTCCACTTGTAATTGACAAGATACAAGAGACTCGGAATCAAACACCTGATTATGAGCCATTTGCTTCATATAATATTATCTCAACACCGAAAACAACTATGCAAAGTGTGCAAGCGGTTGAACATTGGCAGAAGAGAGCAGAGGAAGCTTTCTCATCGCCTTCAAGAGAAGGGTTTCAATCATTTGCACGTGGAACTACAGTTGTTCTACACCGGGCAGAGCTCTATAAGACCGAGCTAGATATTATGACTCTACGTGCAGTAGAGCAGAAGGCAGCAAAGGCAAGGGCACGGAAATCACTACAGAAAGGAGGGCAGTTATATGCATCAGATGCACGGAAAATGCGGGAAGAGAAGAAAGCAAAGTTGCAAGCAAAAGCAGACGCAAGAGCAGCAAGGGAATCGGACCAAGTAGTAAAGCAGCTACAAGCGCAAGCACGTAAAATCGAAATTGAAGAGCGTAAGGTTGAGAGGAAGCGGGTAGCAGAGCGGAAGAAGGAAGGGTTGAAATCAAAAGTGATCATTTTACGGTATAGTAAGGATCAAAGTGATAGTAGCAATAGTGGCAGTAGCGATAGTGATAGTAGTTCTATTGATTTTATGTTTTAATTATATAGTTATATAGTTGATATATAAGGCGTCTTTTTCTTCGTTTTATGTGTCGCACATCTTGCTGTCGCACGCACAACTTGCTGTCGCCACCTACGAGCGAAGCGAGTGGGTGGAACACCGAGTAGCTGGCAATTGATTTGGTGGGCCGTTTGACAGGAAGATTTAGCCGTGCACGTGCCAACTGTCAGTGCAGGCAGTCTCTTGGAGAGATTCAACGGGATCAATTCGACTACCTATTCTACGGTCGGGATAAGCCCCAATTTATACTATATCCTTGAGTAATTACTCGGCAGTCTCACAGTAGGTTTCAGGCTGCGGCACCATCTCCATTCCCCAACAGTCACAATCGAGTATCACGCCCAGACCTTTGCTGTCAGTCACAGTTGATATTTACATATCTCACCCGCTGTTTTGCCTCTAAAATGGGTCCTGTTCTTTCTTCCAAGTTATATCCTGTCACGACGGAGTTCCGAACTTAATATTCTCATTCCCCACAACCGTCGTCAAGACATTCCCAATCCCTCCCACCTGCCCTGACCCGCCAGCCAACATGACATGCGCAAAACTGTCAGCCATTAACTGAACCCCAGACACGAAACCCTGCCCATCGAATTCACTAATTTCATGTTAGCTTTATCTCTCACAGGATCCCCGCCAAGCGCTACTCACCAATGTCCTCCCGCGGGGCTCCCATCCACAGTCTGGAGAGCTCCAATCTGACCAGCACTTAGACCCGCATTCGCTGCCAAGGTCTCATATGCCTCCACTGCCTGCGGGATTGCAGGCTGCAACGACGCCAACTCGTTCTGTGTGCTCTGGAAATGGATCCGCGTTGAGGCCGCCAGGGTGGCCTCATCCACGACTGCAACTTGCGGCGCCAACGCCCCGCAGTTCAGCATCACACCCGTCTTATATGCAGCTCCAAAGGCCGGCATGAAGAACCCAGAGAGCATTAGTGAGCCGCCAGATACACCGGTGAAGAATACATTCGCCGGGTCGAACGCGACATCTTGTGGGAGTTGCTTTTGGATCAGCGTGTTCACTGCTGCTGAGTGTGCGACGCCGTCGGTGCGATCGAGTCCGCTGCCGCCGCCCCAGAAGCGGTTTCGGTTTGGTGCGAGAACGACGACGCCCATGAGCCCGCCTTGAACGGCTTGGTTAGGGAAGTCGATGAAGGATTGCCCGCCGTCGCCGTGGAGGAGTACGTTGAGTCCGTTTTGGCTGGCTGTGGCGTTGTTGGCTGTGGCGGCCGTTGCCGCCGTTGCAGCGCCACCAGGGACGCCCGAGGCTGCGGTGAAAAGGGAGGCTGGGGCACTAATCTTGTATCGGATAGTAAGACCGCTGTGAGTTGTTAGGAGCTGGAGAGGGAAGGGAAGATGGGAGCGTTACTTGATGTTTACGGTCTTGTCAAGGATCGTAGATCCATCGGTGGCCTGGGAAACGGTACCATCGCCTGTTGCAGCGAGTCCTGCGGTAGTTCCTGCTGCGGCTCCTGTGGCGGCTCCCGTGTTGTTATTTGGCCGTTTTCTTCCTCGGCGAGGGAGGGCGTCGGATTGAAGGATGAGGGAAAGAAAGAAGAAGAAAGACAGGGTTCGGAACCCGGAGAAGTGTAGGAAAACCATGACACCGAGATGTCGCCTCGGCTGCGAGAATAAATGATAATTAAATGGATACAGAAGAATCGAATAACTAGACCAGCCAGCTTTGAGTTAAAAAAACGAGGTAGGAAAGAGATGGGATGAAGACAAAAGTACGCTCTATCGAGGGAAGTCTCATTATTTCTATAGAGCGGTAAATCAAACAAAGGGAGTATGATGGTGGAGACCCCATTTACGAAACGGCGGCAATGTCGAAACTCGCCCGTGATACAGACAGAGCTTCCCCATCCGTGACGTGATACAGACAGAGCTTCCCCATCCGTGACGTGATACAGACAGAGCTTCCCTATCCATAATCACGGAAACAGTGTGAAACGGGGCCAAAGGCAAAGGAAATATGACGCGTCCGTGAAGTCCTCAAGAATAGCACCCAAGAGTTCGCCTCTCACCGTTGAAGTAGTTTATTATACCGTAATTTATGCGTGCTACTATTTCTCCTCCGCCAAAGGGCTGCTTGAAATTGCTAAAATATTTCCGTCGTGATGTTGAGGACCTCAATCCGTCGACGCCAAGCATTCTTGGCAGGGTAAACTAGATCCCTCTTCAAGCACCTCCGTAACGCCACCAAAACACACCCCTGATCTTGGCTATCGAATGGATACACCTCAATAAATATAGTTGGAAAGCCAGAGATATGTAAGAATATTGGATATAGAGCGTATGTCACTATCCATTTGAAGAGAGTGTATTTTTTGATTCAACTCTATTTTTCTAATTTGGAAACATAAAATATTGAAAAATCAGAGGATGGTTTAATGATTGACGATTTATTACAAGACAAGCCGTGCGTTCAACTCCATTAGGCCACTTCAGAAGTGCTGTAACACTGTAGCAAAATATAGCAGCCCCACCTGTATTAGCCGTAATAGGAAGTAGACCCCTGACCAACCCCAGCATCAAAATTGCCTGATTAGGAAGACCGCTGTTACAGTGTAGCACCGAGGTGATACACTGTACTCGAGTAGCACTTTACAAGCTAAATGAGTATTATACTCTTACAACAAACCAGCAGTATAGCCACTTAAGTGTAGCTACAATTTATGATCTAAGAATGAATCTTGAGGTCTGTACAAGCTTGTGGCCAAGTAGTGGCAAGGCAAGTAAAAGAAACCGAGTAAGAGCACACTTTCAAGATGTCTTTATGTAGTATAAGACCTGTTAATATCATCTTGGCACTGAGAGAATTGAGCAGCAGACAGAATTAGCTAATGCAGCAGTGCATGAGACTAATTCCGGCGATGATTTATATGCTGCGTAAGGAATCTCATTTCAAGAACCTAAGTGGAAGCGGTGGGTACTTGAGCCACGGCCAGGCCAGTAGATAGACATTCTTAAATACTGGTTATTAAAGCAGTATATGTATCTATTGTTGCACAAATTGCAAGAGACCATCTTGCAATTCTGTTGAGGGAAAGAGGACGTCCACTATGGGATATGCAGTGTGTCCAGTAGTTAGTCAGTTAGTCGGTTTGTTATGCAGTTAAACAGTTGGTTTTCGCATTATGCAGTTCTTGGCAGTTGGTTTAAAGATTATGCCGTACAGTCTGTAGTTGGTTCTTGGCAGTTCAAACTGCAGTTTGAACTGCAGTTTGAATTGCCTAATGTGGAAATTTTATCAGCCTAATATATGAGTACCATATAGTGAAAACTCTGCATCTTCGTGATCTATAGCTTCATTCTTTGGCAATAATGGCATCACCACAGTCTAGTCTATTGGTAGATTTTGACACTGCTCAGTTTGAAACATTTGATACTCAAAGCGACGCACCTACACAATCCTCTCTGTCTCTTACAAGCTGAAAACGTCCACGAACATCAAAAATCTGGGACCCTACACCTGAGCACCGTGATACAGCCTATTTTAATCGACATGGAAAGGCTGTTTGGCATTGTAAGTACTGCCGAAAGGAGTATCAAGAGACTTCTGGTACTGCAGTTGTAACTACGCATCTATTAGATACTCATGCAATTGCCATTACTTCTGTACAAGCTATCAAGACACTCTCTCGGCAATCCAATATCAGCGAAGCATTTCAACGAAGTCAAAACCATAAACGCCGTTGCCTTTCTACAGTCGATACTCAGACACTAGATCCTGCAGTACTTGAACACTTATATGTCTGATGGATTGTAAGCTGTGGAGTTAGCTTTCGCATGGCTTCAAGAGAGGAATTCCGGTCTTTGTTACAGTATCTAAATCCTGAAGTTAATAACTGGCTTCCACACTCAACAACAACTATCCAACTATGGACTATTCGAACATATAATACAGAGAAACTCCGTATACAGCAAATGGTACAATCAGCACTTTTAAAAGTCCATTTTACAGTTGATCTATGGACCTCTCCAAACTCTCTTGCAATTATTGGTATCATTGGTCACTATATTGCAGAAAATGGAGACTTGCAGCACTCGGTACTTGCTTTACAAGAGCTTGACGGACAACATACAGGCCAGAACCAAGCTGAAAGTATTATGGGGGTTATCAATGACTACAGAATTGCTTCAAAGGTTGGTTATTTCATGATGGATAACGCAAGCAATAACGATACAATGATAGAAGCATTGTCTACATGTATGTATAAGCAATTTATAGGTTATAATATATATAACTAACTTAACTAATTTATAAATAGTTCTATTTAATCAGTATCAAATTGTCTATAATGCAGAACATCACCGCCTTCGCTGCAACGGCCATATCATCAACTTGGCAGCTCAAGCATTTTTATTCCACTCAAGTGATGAAGCTCTTGCAGACTATAATAATACAAATACGTTAGCTACTCCTACAGAAACAGAAATGCAACACTGGAGGACAAAAGGCCCACTTGGCAAGCTTCATAATATTGTAGTCCACATACAACGAAGTGCACAGCGAATGGCTACCTTTCGTACGCTAAGTCAAGGTCATAACCTCTTACGGGATAATGCAACTCGGTGGAACTCTTGGTATAGGATGTTACAGACTGCAACAACTTTACGGGCTGCAATTGACGTATACTGTGCACAGTATCAGGAGAATACTGCTGATATCTTGTCTGCAGAAGACTGGCGGAACTTACAAAAGATTGAGAATTTCTTATTGTGCTTCTATGATGCCACACTCTCTACAGAGTCTCGGGGTGCTACAATTGAAAGAGTATTACCAACAATGGACTATTTGCTTGAGCAATTTGAGCAGGGCAAGACCTTATATGCAGAGGACGCATTCATGAGCCCATGTTGCAATTCTGGATGGGCAAAGTTGGACAAATACTACAGCTTGACAGACAGATCTCCTGTTTATATTGCAGCTTTAGTACTATGTCCGCAAAATAAGTGGCAATATATGGAGGATAACTGGCCAATTGAATGGATTACCGATGCAAAAGCAAAGGTACAGCTCTTTTGGGATAGAGAGTATAAGTCTACAGCAATCACAGTCCCTACACCAGCTACCGAGACAGCTTCTACAGTACATAACGCTTTTCAGGAATGGCAGAAGAAGAAACAACGGTCACAACTTGATATTGATGAATATACAAAGTATCTACAGGCTGCAGTATTGCCCGAAGTAACAGATGCAAGATCTTGGTGGCTAGAAACAACACAGCGTAACAGCTATCCAGCTCTCTCAATAATGGCACTTGATATATTGTCTATTCCTGCAATGTCTGCAGAGCCGGAACAGTTATTTTCAGGCGCTAAAATCACCATTACAGACTGTAGGAATCAGCTAGGTATTGAGAGTATACAGGCTATTGAGTGTCTCAAATCTTGGCTTGGAGGAAGTAGTATTGCATGGGTAGAGGAAAAGGAGGAATAGTTACGTGTTAGTAAACTGCAGTTAGGCAGTTATACAGTTGGTTATACCGTACAGTTCTGCAATATATTGAAACAGTTGGTTTTAGGATTACGCAGTTCTTGGCAGTTGGTTTGGGCTCTTAAAACTGCCAAGAACCAACTGTTTCAACTACTGGATACACTGGGATATGGTGGCATTTGGGCCCTAGAATGGCAGCTTTTCCCAGTGTTATCGTCAGGCTGCCCAATTGGCGCTTGGCGTGAGCAAATTGCCTCGGAACTCCGGCGCATTGGGTTTCAGGCAAACCCATCTGTTACTCAGGGAGTTTGGGTAGGCCCTCCGAATAACATAAATAATACGTAGGCTCCGTAGGTAGTGTAGCAATTCAATTCAATTCATTCTATATACTGTACTCGGTGTTCCACCCACTCGCTTCGCTCGTAGGTGGCGACAGCAAGTTGTGCGTGCGACAGCAAGATGTGCGTACACCGCTATTTTGATATATAGAAAAAATAATAGTATTCTTCATAACGTAGTATCTACAATGCCTCAAAATAACGATCCTACTATGATTGCTCACCTTAATGAGGCCCAACAGTTCTTCTTAAAACAACCAAGTACATATACAATTGCTTGGGTTGCAAATAAATTCAATGTCAACCGTGAGACACTCCGATGTCGTATTACGAGTACTACGTCTCCTCAATTACCCCACGGAGGTAGCAATCGAGTCTTATCTCAATCGCAAGAGACCGCGGTCTGTCAATTCATATACGACCAACTTGAGCGCGGGGTCCCTGCCAACCGATCTATGATACTACGGGCAGTTGCAGACTTACGACCTAATCGTACGATACCATCACAACGGTGGCTACAACGCTTTCTAAAAGCACACCCCGAATTTCATACAATTCACACGAAGACGTTAAATACACATCGGAAGCAAGCACAAAAGAAAGAGGTGTTTGAGGAATTCTTTCTCACATATAACGCCCTTATTACAAAACATAACATTAAGCCATATAATTTATGGAATGTTGATGAGACAGGCTATATGATTGGGTGTTATAAGTCTACGGCTGTTATTGTACCAATCGGTGTAAAGCAGTGGACTGTTGATAATCCTGAGAATCGGCTCTCTGTTACTGTAATTGAGGCAGTAAATGCAAGTGGTGCT